TGGATACATACCTTGCTTTCGTGTTTCTCTGAGCTGACGGCACACCTCTACTCGTCTTTTTTTCCCTCTTTCTTCTTTGTATAGACAGCGTACCACAAACACTGGCCTCTCGCATAATATGTAGGTACGTGTACTTGTATGTATACGTGTGTGCGTGCACGCGCGCACAACTCTCTTCAATACACGTGTACGTACGTACGCGTGTTTGTGTGTGTTTTGTGTGTGCCTTTTTCGCGTGCACCAACTTCTTCTCAACCGACCCCAAAAGGCACAAATCGGCTGTAGTAGTAGTTCGTCGTACGTCGACGAGTCCAAACTTAATTTCGTCACGAAATGCGAGATTTTTTTTCTTTTTATTTTTTCTTCTTGCGATTCTTATCCTTTTCCTTCTCTCTCTTTCTCTCTCTCTCACTCTCCTCTTTCTCTTTTTTTTTCTTCTCTCCTCTTCTTTTTCTCCCTTTTTCTCTCTTCTTTTTCTTTGTTTTTTCCCTTCCGTTTCCTTTTTTCTTTTTATGCTTTTTTTCCCTTCTTTTTTCTTTCTTTCTTTCTTTTGTTTTTTTTTTTACCGACACACTTCGACCATTCCCGTGAGACTGCAAGATCTCGAATATATTTCTTCTCATTGGACAAATGAGAATTATTTTATATTTACGTTTATGATCGCGATATTGTGATACTTTTGCATTCATTAAGATTATTAAATCGATTCGAAGATCATTAATCAGAATTAAATCTTAATGTTAATGAAAAACTTGATAAAATTAAGCGGTAGCATATATATATGTATATGTATATATGTATGTGTGTATATATGTGTAATACGCACATATATTTACATACAGCAAAGGAGTAAAGTATTCAGACAGTAGGTTCTTTCTATGTATAATACGTACATTTATTTACATATTTACATAGAACAGTGTGGACAAAAGTATTCGGACAGTAAGTCTTTTATATATACGCTCGCGCGTGTGTATATATGTGTGTGTGTGTGTGTGTATATATATATATATATATATATATATATATATATATTTATATAGAATTAGGGACAAAACTATTTGGACAGTAGAGAATTTGGAAATATAAATGGAACTATATTTTCTTAAATTATTAATAATTATATTGACGTCAATATTATTGAAGTGTAACGTTAGTGGAAACAAAATGATGTTTAAAACAATACTAAAATATAAAAAGAAATGAACAACAGTGCTTCGCAAGTTATTATACAATATTAAAAATTCGCGTAATGGTAAAATTTAATTAGAAATGTATTCATTACATTAAATTTTGGTAAACATATAAATGATATCACTGAAATTAAAACTATATTTCGTTTAAATACACGTACAACAGTAATGATCGATCCTTTCAAATGGTCCCGTTTTAAATGAATCTACATTTGTAACGATACATTAAGAATAATAGTTCAAATTATTATTGGCAATAATCTAGAATATATATTGACTTATTGAAATTACATTAAAAGGGAAATATATTATTACAAATTTATTCGAACGATATAATAAAACATATTTGAAAAGCTAAAGAATTATAATAATATATAATATCATTGTTGCGTAAAATATTGAAAAGAATTTTTTTGTAATCTATTAAAAGAAAAGAGATCGATCAAAAGATTAAGAAAGTTGAATTGTTCGAATTATTCCAAGAAAAATCGGACGTACAAGTAGTACATTCATAATTGCATTTAAGGATAAAATCAGAAAATAAATTCAATCGGACAAAATCATTTCGTAGGTGTGTTAGTGTTATCTATCGAGCGGGATATAAATCTGGGCGGAGGAAGGGGGGATGGTAGCCATGAAGAAATCATTATTCATGAAAGGGATTTAAAGAAAGGCAAACAAGAAAAAAAAAAAAGAAATAATTCACTTTTTACGTATAAATTTACATTTATTTTTTATATCTGAAAATATATATATAATCCAATATTCGTCCTAGATAACAATATACATAAATATATAAATGTATATAAATATATATGTACATATAAGTGTGGATATATATTAATTATAACATATTTATATATAATTTTTTTTTTTTTTTTTTTTTTTTAAAGATTTCATATATGATATCTAATAAAATTTTTTTTTTATACACGGTGTCCTTACTGTCTTTTTTTTTGTTTTTTTTTTGTTTTTTTTTTAGCAAAACGATACCAGCAAATCATATTCTATGATCATCAGCAATCATATTCTATGAATAAGAAAAGAAAATGTCGTACAAACATAGGCTCAATATTATGTACATAGATATTTTTATCGTAAGCGATGAAAATAGGCCAGAGATTATAAAAGAACTACGAAGTAATACAATGGGTTGATTTTCGTTCGATAAAATATGAGAACGAATTAACAAGGCTTATTTAATTTGTTTACACAAACTGTGTGTTTACTAATTGAGGTCGTCATGGATAGATAATGTGATGTGATTCGTAATGTGATTCGTAACATCAATAACGATTAGTAAATTATAAGGATTTGTAAGTAGTTACATACGTTTTACAAATATAAAATTGTATTGAAATATTTTGATAGATGTTAGTACTGTGTTTATAAGAACGTATGACATTTTTAAACGAAATTAACGTAAGTAATTATAATTTTTTAATGAAACATTTTTTCCTTTTTTTTTTCTTTTTTTTTCAAGCCCTATGTTTACTGTAGAATATTTCTCTTATTTTTTTAATTGTAGAATATACCGACAACATTTTGCTGAAAAAAGTAAGGACACCTTTTGTGTGTGTGTGCGCGCGCGTGTTTGTGTGTGTGTATTTATATATAAACACAATTATTAAGATACACATCATTCGTTCATTTGCCGTCGAGCTTGTCGGACGTACTTGGCTAATGTTTTGTTTGTTTTGGTTAAACTAGTGTCCGTGGTGAACGTTACTTCAAGTTTGAAATTCTAATTGTTCAATGTTATTGATTTGTGAAGAAAAGGAAGAAAAAAGAAGAAAATAAAAATGAGAATAAGAGAAAAAGACAGAGTACGTTAGTGTAATCTGCTAATAGAATAATCTGCAAAAAATCAATAGCAAGTGTTAAGCCCATATAAGTCAAGCGTATCTATGAGTTTAAGTAACAAGGTATATGTATGAGGTGAATTTTCGGTTGTTCCGAAAAATTAATTCATTTCTTTTTTTTTTTTTTTTTTCTGTTTTTCTTTCTCTCTTAATCAATATGTCGTGCCATTTGTTAATACAATAGATGATCATATAATAATATCAGTACTAAGTCAATTAACGAAATACTTAAAACAAATGTGTTCGAGTTATAACAAATGTTCGTGAGATTAGTTCAATAAATTTCTCGAGATATTGATATTGTCTAAGATAAAATAATGAATGTTCTTGAGAAGATTAATGACACTTATAAGTTCATGATTATTCAAATCGACTATATTATTTTCTTATTAAAGATAGAGAGAGAGAGAGAGAGAGAGAGAGAGAGGGAGAGAGAAAGAGAGAGACCGAAATCATTAATATAAAAGATAGAATAAATAATAAATAACGATTTCGAATAACTAAAATTAAATGATAGATATTATTATAGAGAATTTTGATGGAAAAAAAAAAAAAAAAAAAAAAATTTAATCCGAGTCAAATAAATAATATCTTATTGAGTTTTCTACTCATTTGTGATAGTGAGATGTACTTATCTAATAGATCGATCTAACATCGTTAATATTATATAAATTAGATCGTATGTCAAACGATTATTAAATAATTATCCTTAAAAGGATTACGAATAAGAGCAGATCTATCGAGAATGGCATATCACTGATCGAGTTGACTGTTTCTTTTTTTTTTTTTTTTTTTTTTTTTCTTTTTTACTTATTCTCTGATTCTGCCATCAATAAGTGTAATCAGTAATCAGTACTGAAAGTAATTAATCCTTATCGAAGTTATCGTATTATAATTTTTTTGCTTTCTTTTTTCTAAACGTTACCGACAACTTGTTTCTCTCTCTCTTTCTCTTTTTTTCTTCTTTCTTATTTTTATCTGATAACATTAGTTCTTTTTTCTTTTTTCCTTTTTTTTTTGTACTTTGTAACATTGAGCTAGTGTCGATTTATTAAAAAAAAAAAAGAAAAAAAAAGAAAAAAAAAAAGAAAAAAAAAAGAAAAAAAAAAAGAATGTATGTACACAATGTATGAATAAAAAAAAAAAAAATATATATATATATATATAAAATATATATTTTAATATAAGCTTTAGAAAAATATACATAAATACATATGCAGATAAAAATAACGCGTAATCGAAACGAAACGAAATGAAACG